CAACTGGCTGTTTTATGAAGCCTGAATATGTGACATTCCTGTTAAACTATATAGTTTGTTTGTTTTTCTAAGAAGTTCCATTTCTCTTACTGAAGTGGAGAGTGTATATATCAACACCAACATGCAATATGCAACTGGTTTTAGTTAGGCTTTAATAATAAGCAATTGATTTGTATTCGTATAAAAGTTTTTCATGGTGTGAAAATAAACTGGAAGTTCATCCAATTTTTGAGACTATAAAAGTCATTTTGGACTTAAGGAACTAACCAATAAAAATAACTGCTTCCATGTGAAACCTGTTTGTGGAAACGACACGGTAAGAACTGGTCTTGATAAAAACAGTGTGATGAAACCTCACCTGTAATGTGATCAGTGTACATTAAGATTTATAAAAGCTATTTGGAGGACGAAAAGCCCACATGAATTCCTCGTAACTCATTACTGTAAAAGCGTGTTCGGCTGAAAGAGAGAGGTAAAAAATGTAGAAATAAATTGGTTGGAAAAATAAAATTGCGAAAGTCCAATAGAACAACAAAAGGAAGAAATAGGTTTTATGTTTTATATTGTGATAAAAATAATTCATGTCGCCTGATAAACAAATGAAACCGAGGCTAAAATGTTTCAAAATTTCATCAGCAGTTAAGACCCTAATAATAAATCAGAGTAGGATTTAAAGGAAATAAACTTCAAAACATGAAACAGGTGCAGTTATACAGAAGACAAGTAAACATCCACACTCCAAAACTTGAACATCTGACAAAATAAAAACATATAAATGAAAGAAGCTGAGAAACTTGAACACTGCAAGTTTGTTTGTTAAATTTTGCAAAAAGTTACTTGAGGGCTATCTGCACTAGCTATCTCTAATTTAGAAGTGATAGACTAGAGGGGGCAGTTATTCAATAGCACCAACTCTTGGCTACTCTAATCAAATAGTGGGATTGACCGTTACATTATAACTCACCCATGGTGAAAGAGCAAGTATGTTAGGTAAGTGGGTTCAAACCATTGAACCACAGCATATTAGGTAAGTGGGTTCAAACCATTGAACCGCAGCACATTAGGTAAGTGAGTTCAAACCACTGAACCGCAGCATATTAGGTAAGTGGGTTCAAACCATTGAACCGCAGTTTGCGAGAGAAACGCCCTAACCATCATGTAATGGCAGGCCCCAAAAAACATAAGAACTTAAACATTTAAAAAATCAAGGTATGAATGATCCACAGATTTCAGCGTCTCTGAGTAAAAGGGTTTTATTAGAGGATAGCGCAACGTTTCATCTAATGATTCATCAGTTACACAAAAGTTGCAGACACAAAAAATTGTATAAACTCTGACATTATCGGTTACTCTGGCTCTTCTTACGCTTCAAATAAATATGGAAGAGTTCAGAGAATACTTGTTCATGTCACAGAGCTTCATTCATGTTTCTCTTGTTTGCAACTGATTCATCAGTTTTATCATAAATATTAAAAACATGGTAATACCAAAATAATCTTTAATTACTTATGACAGCTGTATATTGTTGGTAAAACTACACGTCACCTACAAATAAGTGCACACGAGCATATAGGAATTTCAGCTAGAAGCGGATATAAGCTAATTAATCCACCCGAGTCTTGCATCCGATTACACAGTGAGAATAACAACCACTTTACACTTTTTGAAAACTTTAAAATTCAAGACTCTGGAACCACGGGTTACGAATCCTTTATTACGTCCCTGCAGAGAAACATACTGTTTCTCTATTGTTACTTCTAAGCACTTTTTAATCGACCGTCATTCCTTCATTTCTCGGCGGATTCACTTGAAACTTGGTAGGTCAACACTCTCAGACTCCCTTTCCTTTTTTTTTTTTTTGGTTTAGCCTTTTTAAGGATTTAATAGGGTCAAAAGTCAAACAACCGAAAATTGTATATTATTGGCTCCTTGTGGTTATATTTACAGCAATCAAGATAAAAATTGGCACAATTATAAATTTTTATGCGCTCAATGCATTGACATAAAACAGTTGGATTTACATATTTTTATTTTGGGGGGGGGATTCAGAGCTCATGAAAAAGCATATTTTGGGGATTTTTTGGTCAATTACTCGCCCATATTTTGAACAATTTACAAAGGATTTGATACAAAGATACTTTATTATATATCCAACACATACACGTACAAAATGCCCATTTTGTCCATTTTAGGGGTCAAAAGGTCACAAAAACATACTTTTAGGGGTTTTGGTTTATTTCTTGACCATATTTCGACCAATTTACGTGAGATTTAATACAAAGATACTCTTTGCAGGTCCCAAACAATGATATAGACAATTTTGGAATCTTTGTCTATTGCTCAAGGAAAGCACAATTTGGGGTTTCGTGAACTATTCGTGTATGTCAACCAACTTCCGTGTAATTTGGTATAAAGATACCTTCTTGCAGGTCCCAAACAATGATATAGACGTAACTATGGGGTTTTGAATGTGTTTTACTTCACCATATAGTAACCAAATTAATTTAGGTAACTTAGGTTGTAAATGCTGCTGGTAATAACAACATGCCAATAATGTTAGTGACCTCTTTATGAGTGAACAACTCCACTTCTTCCAGTGTAGATACATTTAATATATGTGTCTTCCACCATACCTCCATTTCCATGCGCACACGCTTCTCACCCTCTACGTTTTGGGAGACCGAATCTTCCTTGGATTGTTTGTTTGTTTGTAATTAAGCATAACGCTACATAAATTTCAGTTTCAATTTTGTTTAGTAAACACATTTTTGCCATATAAAGAAAGTTATATGATTTATACTATGCGGAAACAGACTGCCAATTCACATATTTACCATTCGACAAACGGGTGATTACTAATGAATCTTGTTGAGGTACGATTAATACTAACATTTCTCATCCACTTTTAACTTGATATGTGGATGTAATGTGTTAAAATACCTCAAAAAATGTCACACTTTTTCTAAACTGTCAAAATAGCAAACACATCTCGTGCACAAGGTGTAAAGTGTTGATGACGACTTGTTTTCCAATATTGCTGTGAAACATCAGAAAGAATTGCAGAAGGAATTGAACTAATCCATCTAGTTGTATATAAATGCTATCATTAATTAAGATAAAGGTATTATTTGTAGCATAATGTTAAAGTTCGAGCAGAAGCTGACTGGGTAAAATAATTCTATTATAATTTTTATTATTTGATCTTTTGGATAAAATCGTAGCATCTTGTCTGGAATCGCACAAATAAACAATTATTTAAAGCTGCTAGTAAAACAGTGAAATCTACTGATCCAACTAATTCAATAAAATGGAAACAATCTCTAATACAGCATCGCCAGTGTCGGTGATAGGTAACAGCATGCCAAACAAACATTTGGCTAAGTTATAATTTAATGAATTGGAGGAGGAAAGAATTAGTCTCATAAGGTTCTCTTCTTTGTGAACCTTTGGATCACCGTACAAATACAAATTCAATTCTCCAGTTAACAAATCACGTTTTTGCGAGTTTATTAACAACTTCTTCAAATTGGCTTCCCATTTGTAATTTTGGTTGCCATCGGCCTTTTTTATATATACTTTAGTCACGGAGAATATATAAATATATAGAATTCTATATAAATATATCCATGACAACACTAGTATTTCTTTGGTCAGTTTTCACGATGATGATCTGTTTATTCTTCTTCAAAGCTATAAAAGTTACTCTATCTTCATGCATAGTATTCTGTATTAATTTTCTGTTTCAGCTAAAAAAAACAGAAACTTTCACTTGAATCGAAATCAGCTGGCCATGTTTTGATTTATAAAGGAGAAAACAATTTATGTGCGTTATATTTAAATTCAATCAAGTCTAGATTGTCATGACTTAAACATATACGTTATTCAGAGGAACTAGTAAATATGTGGCAAGTAGTAAAGAGAGTCAAGCAGGTTTAGTAAAAGGAAAGTTATCTGTAGTCTTGCAGGGTTTGATAATAACATTGTAATAAAACATAAGACTATCAGTGAAAATATCAAAGCTAGTTTTGTATTTAAACTTGGAGTAAAAGTCAATTATTTGTTTGGTAAGATGCATTATGACCAATACCGAAGTAATATTATGTATCAAATTAATTGTCATCAATGCCAGTACATTTATGTGAAGAAGGCTTCTGGAAATTTAAACACTATGATAAAAGATCGTGAAAAGAAATAATCTTATGCTATTTAGCATCGTTTCACGTTGAATCACAGGTATAATCCAAATCATGTAAAGTGAATCTAATATATACAATTCAAAATGAAATATGTTTTGGTGGGCAGAAACTACCTGATATGAACATATACTTTGATAGTTAGGGGTAGTAGATAATATTAGAGTTAATTTATTCTATCTGCGCTCTGTATAATACAGTGAATCAAACCTGGAATTTTAATGTTGTAAGTTCAGAAACTTTTTTGGACCCATCTTAGAGTCGATAAACATTTTGTGTTTGCAGCTTGCCACTGATAGATATCGGTTCAGTAGCTGAAACGTCGAACAATTCTAATAAAGATTGTTCACCAAGAGATGCTGACATGTTTATTATAAAACTGATACAAGTGAAACTAATACATATGAAGATTCAAAACCTAACTTTAATAAAACAAAACTGTTATAATTAGCCTCCCCTCCCTTGTAGCACAGCAGTAAGTCTGAAGGCTTATAAAACTACAAAACAGTGTTTCGATACTCGTGGTAGGCACAGCACAGATAGCCTATTGTGTAGCTAGGCGCTTAACAACAAACTATTAGGTCGTTAAGAAATTAATGTCGCTTTTTTTAGATGAAAAGCCCAAACAATTTATATATCAAAACAAAACATTTATTAAATGAAATATACTCCATTCTTATCGATGATGCTTTTCCATCTTACAATCAGGTTGTTAATGCCCTACTAAAAAATCACTTGTCTTTTAAGCAAAAAACATGTCGATGTCCTCTCTAACATCTTTCACATTTACATACGTTTCCCATTAAGATGGTGTTGAAGCGAACTTTCGAAAAAGATGGTAATCTGATGATTCCATATCTGGAGAATATGGTGGGTGGTCGAGGAGGAGAACTTCCCAACCCAACTCTATAATCTTATGCTGCGTCAAACGTGCCACATGCGGGCGTGCATTGTCGTATAGAAGAACACCTTTCCGATTGACCAGTGAAGGGCGTTTCTGATGAATGGCTTGATTTAAACAAGTTGCTGACTATAGATTTCTGCATTGACAGTTCACTGTGGATTGAGGAGTTCGAAATGAATTACTCCTTTCATGTCCCACCAAATGCAATGCATCACTTTCTGGTGTCCAGGTTTTGGGGTCGGAAGTGGTTTTTGCCTAGGACTGTGCCATTGTTTTTGATATTCGCATAGATAATCCATTTTTCATCACCTGTGACAATTCTGTCCAAAAATAGTTCACGCGCATTACGAGCCAGATGAGACAAAGCAACGTTCACACGTTGGAAACGATGATCATCGTTGAGTTTGAGAGGAACCCAAGCACCTTCTTTATGAAGTTTTCCCATATTCCTTATATGTTTACGTCTTGTTTCATGAGAGACATGCAATTTCAGGGCCATTTTACGAATGTGTTGCCTTGTGTTAGACTCAACAAGCGTCTTCAGAGCATCAATATCAATTCTAACATGTCGGCCCCTGTCATCACAGTTTTGAAGGCTAAAGTCACCTGAACAAAATTTACTGAACCATCGTTAACACTTACGAACGTTCAAAATCTTCTATGATATTCTTTGTGGCTACAGAGGCGTTGTTTTCCTTCAGGTATTCAAACAGCTTTACATGCCGAATGTGTGTCTCGTCGTGTGCCATCACTATAAGGAATTAGAATACACTAAACTTTACATATTATATAGGCTACCCTAACGTGACGTTTAACTATTATACGTGGTGTACGTTTTTGTTTGGGAAGTGGTTAATGAAAATGTTCCAAACGCGACATTAATTTCTTGACGACCTAATAACAGATTGTGATATATCAACAAATTCCACATTTTCATCAGTTACTAAACATAAAGAGAATCTAAGACATGTGACCAAACTAAACTAAAAAAAGATACAAAAGAATTGAAATCACTATCTACCCGACAATGGAAACTATTATCTACTAAAAATGGAAACCACTATCTACCTAACAACAGAAACTACTATCTACCTAACAACAGAAACTACTATCTACCTAACAACAGAAACTGCTATCTACCTAACATTAAAAACCACTAACTATCTAGCAATAAAACAATTATCTACATAACTGTAGAAACCACCATCTACCAAGCAACAGAAACTACTATCTACCTAACAACAGAAACTAGTGTCTACCTGACGATATATAGAAACCACTATCTAGCTAAAACAGAAGAAACCACAATGTACCTAGCAACAGAAACTGCTATCTACCTAACAAAACAAACTGCTATCTACCTAACATTAGAAACCACTGTCTATATAACAATAGAAACCACTATCTATCTAACAATATAGAAACCACTATCTACCTAACAATAGAAACCACTATCTACCTAACAACAGAAACTACTATATACCTAAAAACAGAAACTACTATCTACCTAACAACAGAAACTACTACTTACCGGACGATATATAGAAACTACTATCTATCTAACAATAGAAACCACTATCTACCGAACTGTAGTAATCACTATCTACCAAACAATAGAAACCACAATCTACCTAACAACAGAAACTACTATATACCTAAAAACAGAAACTACTATCTACCTAACAACAGAAACTACTACCTACCGGACGATATATAGAAACTACTATCTATCTAACAATAGAAACCACTATCTACCGAACTGTAGTAATCACTATCTACCAAACAACAGCAACTATTATCTACCTAACAACAGAAACTACTATCTGCCTAACTACAGAAGCCATAATCTATCTAATAACAGAAACCACTATCTACCTAACTATAGATACCACTATCTACCTAACAACAGAAACTACTATCTACCTAACAACAGAAACTACTTTGTACCTAACAACAGAAAATACTGTCCATCTGACGATATTTAGAAACCACAATCTAGCTAAAACAGAAGAAACTACTATGTACCTAACAACAGAAACTGCTGTTTACCTGCCCATATACAGAACCACTATATATCCAACAATAGAAACTAGTATCTTCGTGACGATATATAGAAACTACTACCTACCTGATAACAGAAAATGCTATCTACCTAACAATAGAAACTATCATCTACATAACAACAGAAAATACTTTTTACCTAACAATAGAAATTACTATATACCTAACAACAGAAAATACTATCCACCTAACAATAGAAACTATTATCTACTTAACAATATATAGAAACTACTATCTACCTAACAACAAAAATACTTTCTACTTGACGATATATAGAACCGCTATCAACCTAACAATAGAAACTATTATCGACCTGACAATATATAGAAAATACTTAACAACAGAAACCACTATCTACCTAACAACAGAAACAACTATCCACCTGACCATATATAAAACCACTGTTTTCCCAAAAATAAAAACTACTATCTACCTGAAGATACAAAATACTATCTACCTAACAACAGAAACTATTATCTACCTAACAACAGAAAGTACTATTTACCTAACAACAGAATCTACTATCTACCTAACAACACAAACTACTACTTACCGGACGATATATAGAAACTACTATCTATCTCACAATAGAAACCACTATCTACTTAACTATATTAATCACTATCTACATAACAACACCAACTATTATCTACCTAACAACAGAAACTACTATCTACCTAACAGCAGAAACCACTATCTACCTAACAGCAGAAACCACTATCTACCAAACAACATAAATTATCATCTACTTGACGATGTATAGTAACTACTATCTACCTAACAACAAAAACTACTGTCTGCCTGCCCATATATAGAACCACTATTTACCCAACAAGAGAAACCTCTAACTATCTAACAATAGAAACCATTATCTACCTAACAATAGAAACCATTATCTACCTAACATTAGAAACCATTATCTACCGAAAAACAGAAACCACTATCTATCTAACACCAGAAACCATTATCTACGTAACTATAGAAACAAGTATCTACCTAACAGCAGAAACCATTATCTACCAAACAACAGAAATTATCATCTACCTGACGATATATAGAAACTACTATCAACCTAACAACAGAAAATACTATCTACCTAATAATAGAAACTACCATCTACCTAACAACCGAAAATACTATTTACCTAACAATAGAAACCTCTAACTATCTAACAATAGAAACCATTATCTACCTAACAATAGAAACCACTATCTACCGAAAAACAGAAACCACTATCTATCTAACGCCAGAAACCATTATCTACGTAACTATAGAAACCATTATCTGCGTAACTATAGAAACAAGTATCTACCTAACAGCAGAAACCACTATCTACCAAACAACAGAAATTATCATCTACCTGACGATATATAGAAACTACTATCAACCTAACAACAGAAAATACTATCTATCTAATAATAGAAACTACCATCTACCTAACAACCGAAAATACTATTTACCTAACAATAGAAAAATTATCTACCTGACGATATAAAGAAACTACAATCTACCTTACACCAGAAACTACTATCTACGTAACAATAAAATCTATTATCTACCTGACAATATATAGAAACTACTATCTATTTAACAACAGAAAATACTATCTACCTGACGATATATAGAAACCACTATCTTGCTAAAAACAGTAGAAACAACTATATACCTAACAAAGAAACCACTATCTACCTAACTATAGAAACCGCTGTCTACCTAACCATAGAAACTACTATCTAACTGACGAAACAGAAGAAACCACTATATACCTAACAATAAAAAACACTATATATCTAACATTAGAAACCACTATCTAGCTAAAAACAGAAGAAACCACTATATGCCTAACAATCGAAACCACTATCTACCTAACAATAGAAACCACTATCTACCTAACTATAGAAACCACTATCTACCTAACAACAAAAACCACTATCTAACTAACAACAGAAACTACTATCTACCTAACAACAGAAACTACTATCTACCTAACAACAGAAAGTACTATCTATCTAACAACAGAAACTACTATCTACCTGACGATACATAGAAACCACTATATACCTAACAATAGAAACCACTATTTTCTAACAATAGAACTTACTATCTACCTAACTCTAGAAACCAATATCTACCTAACATCTGAACCTACTATCTACCTAACAACAGAAACTACTATCTCCCTAACTACAGAAACCAATATCTACCTAACATCTGAACCTACTATCTACCTAACAACAGAAACTACTATCTCCCTAACTACAGAAACCATTATCTACCAAACAACGGAAACCACTATCTACCTAACTATAGAAACCACTATCTACCTAACAACAGAAACTACTATCTACCTAGCAACAGAAACTACTGTCTACCTAACACCAGAAACTACTATCTACCTAACTCTAGAAACCAATATCTACCTAACATCTGAACCTACTATCTACCTAACAACAGAAACTACTATCTCCCTAACTACAGAAACCATTATCTACCTAACAACGGAAACCATTATCTACCTAACAATCGAAACCACTATCTACCTAACAATAGAAACCACAATCTACCTAACTATAGAAACCACTATCTACCTAACAACAAAAACCACTATCTAACTAACAACAGAAACTACTGTCTACCTGACGATATATAGAAACCACTATCTAGCTAAAAACAGGAAAAAGAAACTATATACCTAACAATAGAAACCACTATCTATCTAACAATAGAAACCACTCTACCTAACAATAGAAACCACTCTACCTAACAATAGAAACTATTATTTACCGGACGACTTATAGAAACTAGTATCTACCTAACAGCAGAAACCACTACCAAACAGCAGAAATTACAATCTACTTGACGATATATAGAAA